GCGCTGAGGACGGTGGGGTTCTGAGCTAGGCTGGCGATGATAGCCGATAGTGCGGCCTGGACTTGAGGATCTACGGACGGAGAGGCCGCGGCCATAGGCTGGGCCGGGGCGTGGTCCGTCTTTTCAGCTCGCTTCTTGTCCAAGCCGAGGCGGGCATCAGGGGCTCCGCCGTTGAGTTGGTTGCGGAGGTCCGTTGTGAGGTTGAAGGCCTCCTGGAAGAGGTCCCCTCCGCCGACCTGGTCGGCCGTGGCGTCCTCATCGTGCTCCCTGGGCTCTTGGTCCTCAGGGATGACTTTGCTGACGAGGTTGCGGTTTGATTTAGTTCTCCCCATGATCAGTGGTTAGCTGTGCTTGGTAGCGACGAAGGGTGCTAACTTGATTGTCCTAGCTCTCAACGAGAGCACCAAATGATAGAGTATATCTAGAGAGAAGTGAGAGCTAGAGAGAGAAGTGCAATGATATGCTTCAATAGAATGATTTTGTAACCCCTATAACTACTCCCAAGGGGAGTATTTATAGAGAAAATTAGGGTTGGGCTCCCAAGCCTTGGGCTTGGGAGGCCCATTTACAACTGGACCGCTACTGGGCCGAATACAAAGCCACTAATGGGCTGTATAAATGAATAAGTATAAAATCCGATTCTGTGAGGTCTTCGTGGCCGACGAGGGCGTGGCTGACGAGGGCACGGCCGACGAGGGCACGGCCGACGAGGGCACCCGGGTTCCTTGGACTCAGGACCGTAATCCGAGTTGATCCCTTTTCGGCCGACGGGGGCGTCTTCTGGCCGACGAGGGCGCCACTCTGTTGTCTTGTGCTTTCTGTTCTTCCGAGTATGTGGGTCCGGGGGCTCAGACCCATATACTCCATCAGAAAGGTTGACCAGATGGATGCGACCTTGAGAGGAAGAAACAGGTCTGGGAAGAGAAAGAAAAGGACAAGAAAGAGAAAGAATGAAAAAAGAAGAAAATGAGGGGAGAAGTAGCAGGTGCAGAGAATAAGGGGATTGAGAAAGAAAGAAGAAAAGGAAGGAAAGAAAAAGAAAAAAGGAAAGAAAATGAAGTTATGCCACATCAGATGCCACAAACATGATTTCAACCGGGAACCGGAAGAATACCTACTACAAAGATGATTTGCCACTTTTTTTATTGTTGGTGGGTTTAATTGGACGATATTTAAGTTCGTGGACTTAATTGACATTTTCGTTATAGTAAGGGGGGTTATTTGACACTTTTCCCTAAAATTATTTATGGATTATAATATATATAAAAAATAAAATCTTTATGCAAAAAATATAAAAAATAAAATTACAGACCAAACCAGACCAGACCAGACCAGATCAGACCAAAACAGACCAGACCAGACCAGACCAAAATAGACCAGACCAGGCCAGACCAGACCAGCAAATTACAGTCCAAGTAAAAACATCCTTGACGCAAAGTACAATTTAGCACATAAAACATGAATAGTTCACTTGTAAACTTTATTTGACCGAGTATAAAGCTTCTAAAGAAATTGCCTTATACTCCCTCCGTCCCATAGGGAGATTCCCGATTCGGTTTACAATGCATGACCGCCGATAAAGTAACTTGATCCATGTTCACACTTTTATTATTTTTAGTAAATAAAATGTACATATTCAGAAACTACATTAAAACTACTACTAAGCCTGAATTTTAGGCTGCCCTTCCTACCCCCATGTTGGATCCGCCACCGGACCCATCCCAAATTTTAGGCTTTTTATTTCAATATTACAAAAATGAATCAAAAAGACAAAAATGTGACCTCTTTAATTTGAAATTTTCCCAAAAAAGTGACTAAAATCATTTATTCTTTGTATTTTATCATATACGGAGTATTTATTATTTTAATATTCTTTTTATATATTTAATTAGTAGTCTATATTTTGAAGCTACCAGCACCTCTGTGACCGCCGTCGCCGTCACCGGAACCACCGTTGCCGCCGTCACCGGCATCACCGTTGCCGTCGTCACCGGCACCACCGCTGCCGCCGTCACCGGCACCACCGCTGCCGCCGTCACAGGCACCGCCGCCGTCACCGCCACCGGCACCACCGCTGCCAGTCACTGTCTCAGTGACTCCGCCGCCACAGTTACTCCGTCACCACAGTAACTCCGTCGCCACAGTGACTCTGCCGGCACAGTGACTCCGCCGCTTCAGTGACTCCGACCACAGGGACTTCAGTCACCGTGACTGCCCGCCTACAGGCCACAGTGACCTCCGGCCAACCGATCACAATTACTCAGCCTTGGTGACACGTCACACTGACGCCACTGCCACCACCACCACCTGACCGCCGCCCCAACCCTGACTCAACTCCACATTCTCCAGCCCCCATCCACCTACCTCCCCAGCCCCTCCTAGCCCCCATCCCCTAGCCCCTCCTAGCCCCCAACCCTCCATCTCCCCAGCCCACAACCCTTCCCAGCCTCCAGCCCCCTCCCAGCCCTCAGACACCTCCCCAATCCCTCTCAGCCCCCAACAGCCTCAATCCCTTCCTCTGCATTTCCACCGCCCTTTCCAGTCTTCCCCTGAACCCGTCATACCCCTTCCCTCACCAGGCACTCCATAGTTATTTCACCGCCGCTGCCCCAATCTGCTATTAAGGTTCCATCGATGATGGCGACAGTTGTTCGACACCCCTCCCCATCGCACAGACAGAAAGAGAAGAAATAGAAATTCGTAGATGGCGACGACGTGGATAGGCAGGGGACGGCTATGGTGGTCGAAGATGGTGACGAGTTTGGCTCAGGGCAGCGTAGACGGATCCAAGTTTGCGGCGTCGAGCTGTAAGGAGCGCTGCAGCAAAGTAGCGCAAATGTGAATTTAGGTTAGGAAGCTGCGTAGAAGTTAAGCGGATGGGGCGGAATGAATGAGGTCTCAATTTTTAAATCATTTTTTTGTCCAATCAGTTATTAGTCATATTTTTGGAATTGAAAAGTGTAGGAGTAATATTCAGGCCATTTTTTCATTTTAAAATTGCTTATATTTTTAATGTAAAAATTTATTTGTAAAAATTCTTTGCACCGACACCCAACTCTTACTCTTGGCTACGCCCCTATCCATATGAATAGTCGTATGGAACCTTTGAATGGGACGTAGGTACTACTATGTATAGGACTCAAACAGAACAAAAATATCACAATAAGAACGACTATTTTATTCCCTTTTTAGAGCTGATATGCTCTTATTCAAAGTTTGTCATATTTGTGGAAATGTGGAATATCTAGCATAATCATGTTCAAGGTAATTTACGCAATTGAGATGACATTATTTTGTATGTTGACAACCAAAATTACTTTTTCATAGCAAGTCGAAATAACATTATACACGTTCAAGTTAACTTACGTGCTATAGTCGAAAAGAACATTTTTATGTATTGACAAGCAAGAAGACATTTGTATTACTGGTGGAGATGATACTTAATTTACATTATTACTCGGTGATAACAATTTCATTTGATAATGACGTTATAATCTCATCAGTATGACATTAAATAAGAACATTTTTACATTCATCCCCACTTTTACTCCTGTGACACACGAGAATCATGATTATGTTTTTACACTTTCTACATATTTAAATAGTACTCCCTCCGTCCCTTATAACTTTACCAATTTTCTGTTTTTGGTTATCTCAAAAACTTTGTCACTTTCCCTTTTAGTCAATCAATTTGTGGTTCATGTTATTTATCTCTCCTCTGCACAAATCTCTACCACACATTTTTTACTTTATTATTCTACGTGTCGGTCAAACTTAGCAATTCTTTTAGGGACGGAGGGAGTACTTAATTGAGTCATATTCCTTCCGCTCTCTAATACGGAGTAGTTGTCTCTATAGGATTTGACACAAGTTTTAAGATGAAAATGGTAGAGATAGTGTAAAAGGTGTAGTGAATTGTGTTTAAATGAAAAAGTAAGAAAGAGAACGAAAAAGTAGGAAAAAGAATGGGGGTATATTGATATATTTATTGAAAAAAAACTTTCTAAACCTGCATGGATAGCTCAGTTGGTCGAGTGGTGGGAGATTTGGATCAATAGACCAAGATTCGAATCTCCGCACCGACCGGGTGGAGGTCACAGAACCTGAAATAAGGTTGGGCCTCTGGTGCGCACGGTGTATGAGCCTACTGCCATTCTGCCGACTGAGTCACCGTGACTAACCTCCCCACCATCCTGTCGGGTCGGGGTGGGGAGCTCCTCGGTGGGAGATTCCACCTTTTGGATCAATTGAAAAAACTTTCTAAAAATTGAAAAGAAAACAGCCATTAGAGAACAAAATAAAATGGAAAGAGGGACAAGTATTAGAAAAAAGAGGGAGTATAATTTTGTGGTAATTTATACAGAGAGTGTTCCAAGTCAAATTAGGTCGAAGAGAATATCACAAGCAATAGCTGCCACAGTACCACACAAAGTCCATGGACACGTCTTAGACACTTATGAATAGAAAAATAGTCATGGAGTCCAACCAATTAGTCAACTTATATTAATACGTAAGTATCTTATACGGAGTAGTAGAAAAACTGAGTTGTATAAAAATTATACTTCGTACATTGAAAACATATACTATCGTACTACCGGTTCTCTTTTAATTGTAATATTGAACTATTTGCACTATTCACATATTCTACTTTGACTATATTTTATTAATTAATGTATTAAAAATTAAAAATTCAAAATATGAATTTTTTTAAATTCTTCTGTAATATTGTAGTCAAAATACGAATATTTATTAATTTTTTAAATAAATTATAATATTGTAGTATTGATAAATTCTTCTCATTCTAAAATTTCAAAATATGAATTTTTTAAATTTTTTACTAATAGGGAATGAAAGATATTAATGGTCAAACTTGTGCGTTAACAAATGTGAAATGTTGACTGTTGCAATTAAAAAGGAACAAAGTACTACTTATTCTCTTGCATGTCAATATTGTGTAAATAATAAATTAATAATCTCTAGTGTAGCCAAGACCACAACATTTTGAAATAGGGAATGCAGCGAAAAAATAATTCATCATTTATATAGTATAAAATTGAGAGAATTCCCTAAATAGGACAAAAAGTAGAATTTCAAAAATAGGACTACTATGTTTTATTGGTCAAAAATAGGACTAATTAGATCTAATCTGACAAAATTACCCTTAATGATCTTTTGACATCCTCATCGCAGAACCATCCGCAATCCCCATAGCAGTGCCGCATACATCCTACTGCAGTGGCCTAGCAGTTATACATCCTTTACCAACCACTGCACTCATTGCCCTTTGTTGAGGCTGACACCCTTCAAGCAAACCACCGCCACCACCCATCCATGAGCCTCACTCTCCAACTAATTCATTTCCTCTCCTCTGAGATTGTCACCTTCTGTTAGAAGTGACACAATAATGTCATTTTCGTGTAAAAATCATGACATTTTCAAAAACAAGTAAAGATTTTTTAAATTAAATTTGTGGCATTTTGTAAGGATTATGACATTATTAAAATAACAAAATGGCGTTTGAAATAAAAAAATCAAAATATTGAAAGAAAAAAAAAATAAAAAATCAGAAAATGTCATCTTTATAAAGTTAATGGGGCATAAAATTGACATTGTTTTGTCAAATGGGCAAAAATATGACATTCTAGATTTTTTAATTTCAAAATAATATTGTCATCTTAATGGGTGCAATGCCATAAAAGTGACATTTTATCTAAATATTTTTAATTTTATGGTATTCTTAAATTCCAAAGTAATCAAAATTAATAAATAAATAAAATTCAAATTCAAAAAAATAGAGGATGAAGACGATGAGAAGTAGGAGAAGGAGAAGGAGAAGGGGGGGGGGGGGGAGAGGAGAAGAAGAAACACTTACCTGGAGATATTTCGAGCAGAGCAGAGGAGCATCAAAGCGCAAATAACCTGCGGACATGGCCCATGGGAGACATCTGGCGAAGTGTTCCTGCGTTGTGGCCATGTGGATTTGATTCCCAGGTAAGGAAGAGATCTGGTTGGGGTGATGGGGTTCGATGCGTAAGACAAAGACCCAAAAGAATATACGGATAAGAGATTTAACATATTAGAGGTAAAATGGTAACATGAAGTCCAATTTAGGAAATTTAAAACATTAAGTCCTAACTTGAAATATTGACTATGTTTTAGTCCTAATTAAGTCAATTTCCTTATAAAATTACCAATGACAATTGTTTTTACTGCCATTGATAGTAAGTAGGTCATGAGTCAGACCTAAGTATGCAAGATCTTCACACCATCATTTCTATTTCTAGCCATAACTTGGACAATGAAGCTGAAGCCTAGTTTGAACTAGATCTTAGCGACCATAGTTGGAAAACTTATGAAGCATTCGCATGAAATTCCATCTTTGGCTATCTAAATGTTTGGTGCATGCTCTATTTCTATTTTAAAACTATATTGGAACGCTGTTCCATTTCGCGAACAAGACCGGACGAAAACTAAATAAGTAAATAAAGGTTCTACCCATTTTGGTTCCGAAGTGAAACCAATATACTAGTACAAAGTAACTAAACCTGTCCAAACCAGTTACAACTTTGATTCCTCTAAAATATGCTTGAAGTCGACCGATTACAAGTTGTTTTTTACTAATTTTTAAAATTTGCATAAACGAATACAAACCAATTCACTCATGTACCTCCTCCCACTTTTACTTATAACCCGTCACTCTGAACTAGAAAAAGTCCAATCCCACCCCTATTTTGGACATATGCGATTTCACTGTATGTAGCTTTCTCTGGATAAGTTTTTCGAAAACCTGAGTTTGTATAAATTAATGAGACTACACAAAACTTTGTACAATGAGATTACGGGGTGGTAAATTTGATGTAGAACCATGCCATGCGACATGATCATGTTCTACAGAAGTTGAAAGAACTCCGAGAAGATGTAACTATAAACTACTCCCTTCGGTCCTTGATTAACTTTACATTTTCCTTTTTGGGTCGTCCCATATTAAACTTTACATTTCCTATTTTGCCTTGTTTGGCAAACAAATCTACACCAAACAGTGCAAAACAATGTAAAACAGTGTCAAACAATGCCAAACAGTGTACTCTACAGTAAAGTCAAATTTATTTCCTTAATATGTGGGAAGTCAAAGTGTAAAGTTTAATAGAACCGGAGGGAGTAGTAAGCAGCGGCGGACGCAAGAATTCCCGCTATGAGGAGCGGCAGTGTACAAAAATACATATAAATACATATATATTAAAATTTCGGGATAAATATACCTAGGAAAATGTTACAGGCGTGATTGGGATCTCGTGTTAGATCTAGGAAATAGAGAATATGTGAGGAGAATAATAAAATAAGCCTAAGCTAGAATTAATTTGTGCCCGACCTTGTCAAGACACAAAAGAATTAATTCTTCCCAAGCTCTCTATTGTATAATATGGATGTCCCTTATATAGCTATTACAAGAGTCCTAATTAGAAAAGGAAATAAATGCTAACTAAGAAGTTGCCTAAAGCAAAATAGGAATAATTATAAAAGTAGATAAATGCTAATTAAGAAACTGCCTAAAGCAGAATATGACTAATTATAGAAGGAGATAAATGCTAATTAAGAAGCTGCCTAAAGCAGATATAGTATTAATAATAATAGTAATAATGATAATAAAATTAATAATGTATTATTTCTTGACTTCTTCTCCCATATCATTACTCCCCTCTTGGACATCAAGCTTGTCCTCAAGCTTGAAGGGAAGTAACCGGCGATAGTGTCCACCTTTTCCACGATCAAACGGCATCATTGGGAAATAAACGAATAAACAACCATGTGTGATAATGTGAAGGAGGATGTGTTTGACATGCAGTTCTAGGACATCATGACATTTTTTCCTCTTCGATTCTCCAAGGCCTTCATTCTTTAAATACTTGCACGGAATTAAGTGTAGTGGAGAGTTGTAGATCTTTTCTGGTGGAGTTACCAGAAACTTTTGGGCTACCAGATTTGGCAAAGGATTTACTATCAACTTATCTGGTAGATGTGGAGGCAATGAGGACTGTTGAGATACAATTTTAGATGTGGACGCTACTGGTTCAAGCCTCAACTTTTGCAGTGGAAACAGTTCGATTTCTGGCAACGATGGAGATGGTAGAGATGTGGGCTGCAAAATCTTATCCGATGGCGGAGGCGTCTGAGTTATTGGTTGCGGTAAAGGAGATGGTGTATAGTGTGGATCTTCGAAATCTAAAATTTCTATGTAAAACAGACGTTTGCAGCGATGTTGGCCTCGGATCCATTGTTCGTCACAATTATAACATAAACCTTTAGCGTGTCTTGCAGCCACGTCAGCACAGGATAATTGTTTCCATACGGGACTAAACGTACGACATAGAGGGGCTGTTTGGACTGAAGCAAGTCTCTTTTTAACAAAATCAAGATCTTCCATAACGGTTTCAAAGGTCAGCGTAGAAGGATGAATAATGATAGAAGCAAGTTTCCTTGTAGCAGCAGTCAGACCCTCCATAGCAGTTGCAAGAGCCTTGGTTGTTTCAGAGATCGAGACATTCAATTCACGAAGATTTTTACTCAAACGTTCTTGGCCATGCATATACCTATTTGCACCTTGTTGGAGTGTTGTCACTAGTGAGGCTTCGTTGACATGCATCTATTTTTTTGGCTTCTCTGTTGAAGGGGTATTTTTTTTGGAGAATTCTGAACAGGAAAAAAAAACAGAAAGAGCAGGGAAAAATTTGAAGTTTTGAACTGAGCAGGAATGTGATGAAACAGAAAAGGTGCGGAATAAGATGAATCGGACAAGAACGTGATGGCTCTGATACCAAATTGTTACGGGCGTGGTTGGGATCTCGTTTTAGATCTAGGAAATAGAGAATATGAGAGGAGAATAATAAAATAAGTCTAAGCTAGAATTAATTTGTGCCCGACCTTGTCAAGACACAAAAGAATTAATTCTTCCCAAACTCTCTATTGTATAATACGGATGTCCCTTCTATTACAAGAGTCCTAATTAGAAAAGGAAATAAATGCTAACTAAGAAGTTGCCTAAAGCAAAATAGGAATAATTATAAAAGTAGATAAATGTTAATTAAGAAACTGCCTAAAGCAGAATATGACTAATTATAGAAGGAGATAAATGCTAATCAAGAAGCTGCCTAAACCAGACATAGTATTAATAATAGTAATAATGATAATAATATTAATAATGTATTGTTTCTTGACTTCTTCTCCCATATCAGAAAAAAATTGGAGGGGCGGGGGAGGGGGGGGGCAGCACCCCCCATTAGCCCCCATGTTCAGTCCGCCACTGCCAGTAAATGAAAAATGAAGGAAGAATCCAAATTAAGATATAATGCAGCTTATGAGAATGGTTTGGAGGCAGGCAGTAGAGCAAAGAAGAACAAGTCTGACTAAGGTTTACCATGTTAGTTGTTCTAACATTCATTTGGACAGAGTTGGAAGTATGTATAGACACATGTAAGATGGACATATATAGTCTTACATCTCCATCTTTCTCTGATAACAACAGACAGTGAAAGATACTAGACCTAGTAGAATGCTTGAAGTTTCAGCTAAGAGTAAAAGGTTCCTTCTGCTGGTTGAGGGAGCTTCCGGTTGTGCGGTGCAGCCATTTCTTTCCGCAGCTGAATCAAGATGGTTTCCATTGTGTAGTCCCTCTGCCAATTTGCAAGAACTGCAAACTTATTTTGTTCAACCTGTCAAAATAGATGACCCTAGATGACCCTTACGTTTTATATTTTTTTATCTAAAAAACATAAAACATGAACCGGAAGTTAAGTTTATATTACCACTCCAGTTTCATTGTTCACACAGGTCATGCGGATACATGAATGGAAACGAACACTTGGAGGCTTATCAGGATAATCTTGGTCACAGTACAGCTTCAGTTGATAAATTCGGCCATCATGCACAGTCTGTAAATGAATATAGAAATACCCTATAATAATGAGTGAATGTATACGAACACAATATACTACATATCAAAACTAGTTGACTTCCATGTTATTCATAAAATTCTGTCTTACTACAATTAAAAATAGTGACTTGAGCACATCATATGTATTTCCTTGGAGAAGAGACAGAATCAAGTTTAAACTTTCCGAGACAATCTTTTTTTTGTCAACGAAAAAGCAATACAGAGTACAAGATTTTATTATTATTTTTTAGTATATAAGCTGATAAGCACTATAGATGTATGTCCTTATACAGAAGAACAGTATCAATTCCTAAGACCGAATATCATAACTGAAGGAAGAATTATAACAAACTTTTATTAACCTATGAAAATATAGGGGGTGTTTGGAACTGATTCTGCTTCTGCTTCTTTTTTAAAGCAACAACATAATCAGAATCAGTTTTCAGAAGCTGGTCACCCCCAGCTTCTAACAAAACTGATTCTAGGAGTAAATTAGAGCACCAGAATCACTTCTGCACTTTCACCCAAACACTCCAACTTCTGGTTCTGCTCCCTGAAGAAGCAGAAGCAGATTTAAGAATCAGATCCAAACACCCCCATAATACACCGTTTATTACTCCATATAAAGTAAAGGGTATGCATTCATGTTTTCTGACTCCAGTTGATTAAAGAGAACTCTGTTTATACCTATTTTAGTCGGTGTTACTAAATTTAACAATCATATGTAATTGTAACTATTTTGGAAAAGTACAAGATAAATTAACTTCAATTGATCAATGAAGTCTACTTTTTTGTAACAAGAGAATTATTTTAAACAGGACTTTTTAGGCAAAGAGCGTATATAGTTTCTTATATTTGCTTGCAAGAAATAGTGTATTATTAAAGCCCAAAATATTTAGAGTGAATAATGTAAAAGAAAGAAATGATATAAAAATAGGAGTAAACAACTTACATTATGCGGACCGATTATGGTTCCAGTCCAAGAACACATGTAAAGATCATCACCATCATCCATTCCGTAGCTGACAGATCCATCTCCAATGCCTTTTTCCCCACGTTCAAGCTCCTCAAGCAACCTAAAACTCCTAGGGACTGCAAATACATGACAGATGATGATGTATGAATAATACATGTATCTTGGAGCAGGTTCAATCAGTAACAGAAAAACATAACCAAACAGATCTCTCTCATGCTTAGATAAATCATAAATGCAATTCGCCTGAAACCTTTAATGCAAGGGGGGAAACTATGATGAAAACGGTTTTAGAATCTCATGTCATTATTCTCTTTAGGAAGGTTTAGACAAAACAGAATTCCGATATATAAATTTGTCAATATGCTTTTAACCAAGACTTAATAGTGTAAACTAGTCAAGTAGATTTAAACAATTAATTAATATGGTAAATTTCACTTCATTAAACCCAATTACCCAACACAGGTTGAGTTAACTGTTAATGATAACGATGATGTTGAGCCAAAAAATGGCTAACCAGTGATCATTTTAGTAGATATGAACCACACAACAAAGTATATAGATGCAAATAGGTATCCATACAGCCATATATGCAATCCATTCTAGACGAAGCTAACAGACTCAATGGTGCAAACTGTATAGTACAATCAACTTTGAACACCTAAACTCTATACTAGTATAGTAGTATATTATTAACATTGTTACAAGCTTAATCAATGACAAATATATATGGCATGAAATTATGGAAGGTATTCCCCTATTAATATTACAAAATCTCCATTAAGTAGGCAAATGGGCATATTCCTTTATAGATGTTTCCCCCTTTGAGGAGTGAGGAGAGATAATAGTCAAATTTAACTCTTCCTTTCATTAAGCAATTGGCCCAAAACATAAGGATAACAATATGATTTAGTTCCCTTTGCTGTTTTACATAAAAATGGGAGGTATCACCATTATTTGCGTCCACAAATACTTCCAGAATGTTCTCTAGAGAGGCATTACTTTAATGACTAAAAGATTATTTCCTTCAGAAGTGTATACTCTAAAAATGGTTAGCTAGGTTAGTTTAGCACTTTAGCATTTCGCATGAATGTCAGACTTCGCAGTTCGGCTTTGCCATGCAAGAGTCCATTTGTTGGGGATTTCAACTCTGCATAAAAACTATTTTTTTAAACCTTAACACGCTTCCATATATAAATGTTTAGGAAAAGAGTTTTAATTTATTAGATCTACTATCCATATACTCCTTTAACGTCACAATACTTTAAATTTAATTCTGTTTCCAAAGTTTTTGTATTATCTAAAGTTCAATAATTACACAGATTTGAAACCCACTATAAAAATAATTAAACCAGATATCATATTGAAAACTTATTTTCCATCATTTGCAATGGAGCCAAAGATTCACTATTTTTTGGCTTGAGAATATGATGGAATAAAGCAAAATGACTCACTTAACTGTCTGCGCTTTAGTGTGAAGCAACAGTCAGTCCATGTATTTTTCAACGTGATTTTTACTATGGGTCATTCGGAAACAGTCTCTCTGTGCTTTAGTACTGGGGTAAGACTACGTACATCCGACCCCCCCTTACCCCACCGTAGGTGGGAGCCTTTACGGCACTGGGGTAATGATGATGATGATGATCATATTGAAAACTTAACTCCGCCATGAGATCATTTTTTTGGTATCATGCCTGTCCCAAGCCAGGATAAAGGAGAAGGGTGTTGTGGTAGGCGCGTGACGGCCAACAGTATCACTTAGTCACATCACAATATCGCTACATCTAGGTCGTCGCCCGTAAGCAACGCGTCATCCCTCCGCCTGGGGGTGGTGTCAAATGGGCAAGAGCGCGCTACACTTCATAGGCCTGGGTGTGGTGATAAAAATGCTAAGGTTGCTAGGTCGTCGCCCGGAAGCGATGCGCCACTCCAATGCCCGGGGATGGTGTCAAATATGCAAGGGCATGGTGGGGGTCGATGCGGAGTGAAGAAGAGAAGGCAGGGTGTTAGATTGCGCTTTGGGACATGGAATGTTGGCTCTCTTACGGGAAGATCATCTGAGATAGCACAGGTTATGAAGAGGAGAAATATCAGCATAATGTGCATGCAAGAAACTAAGTGGGTTGGAGAAAAGACACGCGAGATTAATCCCGGAGGTTTTAAGCTTTGGTACTCGGGGAGAGAGAGGAACAGAAATGGAGTAGGCATTATGGTGGCACATGATTATGTTGACGGTGTGGTTGAAGTGTTTAGGAAGAACGATCGCAACATGAGCATTAAGTTGATAATAGGGGATGAGATTGTGTCCGTGGTTAGTGCCTATGCACCACAAGTGGGATCAGATGCATCTATCACTCAACAATTTTGGGAGGATCCTGAGGAAGTGGTGCGACGAGTGCCAAGGGGAGAGAAACTGGTCATAGGAGGCGACCTCAACGGGCATGTGGGCCCAAGTCGTGATGGTTTTGAGAGTGTCCATGGGGAAGAACATTCTGGATTTTGCCTCGACATATGAGTTGGTTGTGATGAACACT